GATAAGTTCCTTCGAATCTGAACTGAGACACATATTTTGCCATCCATGGTCATGAGCATTCATGAGAGCAGGGACAGCAAGAACTTCCGCTTGTAGTAGTGAGCTTACGTGGTCTTCTGTTTGTGTGGCATGAAAAATATCCAAGTAGCTTTTCTAAGCCGTTGTGATCGATCAACAGCAAAAAAAAAAATCAGTTCGTAAACCAAACTCTCTATAGATTAATTAAATTCAGTGTTATATTGAAAATCTAAGAGTAAAATACTAAAGTTAGACTCGTAATCCGTAGAGAACCTTTTTATCTTTTGCAGCGGGATAATGATCGCATTTTCGATAAAATTTGATTTCTTGGTTACAACATTTAAATTAAAGATAGTTATAATTGCAAATTAAAAACTTCAACTTTCTTTGTCTTTGGATTCCATTTTTCACCAACTTGTAATATATCTTCGGAAAAGGAAAGACTCACTCAACTAGACACGTGTGGCAACGCACGTGTCTCATAACACATTCTATATACTACTGCACCATCATTCCTAAAGCCTCACGAGACTCATAATTAGGATTTTCTCCTCTTTCTTTTTTCTTGCCAGTTCTCTCATTTTCGCTGCTATTTTATTGGATTTAATCATAATATTAACCACAAGAGTTAAATTATTACAAACAATTAAATTTAAAATTTTTTAGTCACAATGTTTTAAATGTAAGGTTTTTCATCTAAACTATAATACATTCAAACTTTAATTTGGAATGATTTGTATTACACCAACAAATCTTATACATAGGATCAAATTCTCTGGCATTAGTCAAATCTAATGTTATTTGAACAATAATTTTAAAAAATCTAATACTCCATGTGTTTCTAGATAATTGTTTTTCTAAAATTTTTACACATATTAAGAAAACATATTACTCCTTCTGTCCTAAAATATAAGATGTTTTACTAGTTTCTATGCAGATTTAAATACTATTTGATAATTTTGACCTTTTTGAACTATGTGGTCTTTTATGTGATTGGTTGAATTATATTTTTAACTAATTAATAAATGTTGTTTTGTTAAAAAGAATTTTCTTCTTAATTATCGTGCATTCAGCCAAAACATCTTATATAATGGGACGGAAAAAGTAATTCTTAACA